ATTGTAATCACAAGCGGAGGGTTTCTACCAGAGATAACTAACGGTCAGTGCCAGTCAGATAACCGAAAATTGCTCTGATAACTTTCAATTAATTAAAATTACTTTATTACTTTGAAATTACTTTTATTACTCTCGATTACTGAAGTTACTACGATTACTTAAATAATTTAAGAAATTACTCAATTATTCAATGATTAACAATGTTTCCAACTTAGAGATTGCTGGAGTAATATCATAGAGGTAACTCTTAGACTAGAAGGTCCCGAAATAACGTGCTCAACTTTTTTGGTTAGCTCTGGTACTCTCTTCGGTCCCAAGCTAATCGATTCACCCCTCGAAACATAGGAAAAACCGCTAACCCCTCATTTTATTTGTCAAACTTTCATAGCGAATCAAAACAAACATTGCGTAGATCTAGAATTTCGACTAGAATGGGGTACGTTAATCGTTTTCTTGGGACCAATAGGCTAGTCAAGTAGTGAGCCAATTTAAAATCGTTTTTCGTATTGATTGTTGGTAATACGATAACATCCAAGCTCGATTAATAAAAATCTAAACTGCAATCATGTTAAACTTATATTTCAAACTGAGATTTAAAAAAAATCATTGAAAAGTCAGAATTTGAAAGTTTTACTCTAAATACAATATAGCGAGACTCATCTGTTGATTTTTTTTTTGATTTGGATTTGGACATTTATGTGCGCTGATGCGAATGTCATCAAAATTGGAAAACAAATCTCGATTATCGCGCTAATTATTCGATGAAATCGGTGTAAATATTTACATTATTTGACAAATCTCAGGTAATCATGACAGCAGCTAAGAGGAAGATAAGACAACTGGCTTTTTTTTTGTCTGTGAAGTGTTCTTCTTCTCTCGCGGAAACGATCGTGCAAATCTAGATAGAGCTAGAATTAGGGCGTAACCGCTTTTGTAAATAATAAATTCTCTCGATGATTTCTAGGAATTCAAGGCACGCCCACGCAAACTAACATTACCTTTGGGTAGAGGAAGTTGTCCCCTACCCGATGGTGATGTTTATTTGCGTTGGCTTGATTTTCTAGAAATCATCGAAAGAAGTCATTGTTTACAAAATCTGTTACGCCCTAACTCCAGCTCTATCTAAAAATACTATTTAATTATGGGCGACACAGTCGATTGTCAAAATACAAGAAAATAGATTCCTTGTTTTAAAAATTCTCGAGTTTCTATACGTTCACCCGACCAATCAGATGCTGGTTCGCGTTTGACAGAAAATTGGTTCCCTATTTTCTCCTCTTCCTCTTAGGACAGCAGAAGATCTCTTTTCTTCATTCAAATTGTTTTCATTAATCAAACGTCATGATTACCTAGTTTGCTTGCACCAAAGAATATGAAAAAGTCGATTTCATTCGGTTGCATCATGGATCCTAATTTATTTTTTTCAAATATTCATTTTTTTAATATCTAAATTCGATTTCCAGTAATTCAATAATAAAGTATACCTGAAACAACTAGAATCATAAAATTTACATAGAATAATAAAGAATATGATAATTCCCGAGTACAAATATTTATAGAATTACTAGAATTACTGCTTAGTTATCTTTGAAATTACTTTCCAAGCAGTAGGAATTACTGAAATTACCCATAAATTACCCACAATTATTTTTATTACATTGAAATTACTGAGCAATTTTAAATTCACTTATTATTTTAATAATTTGTGGTAATTTTTGATTACCAATCGCCTTTCAAGCTTGGTCCTCGATCACAAGGAGCAAAAATACATTACAGTGCTTTCCCGATTTTGTCAGCCCCTTCTCAAATTTTAGGCTGGCAAAATCGGGAAAAAATTCCCATTATATTTTTGATCAAAACTATTACAGAATAATGCAATTATTTGTAAAAAAAAACTCTTCTAAACCATCAAATAATTAGAATTATTGATTTAATTTTCCTTTGATGATAATGAAATATGTATTAACTGTCAAAGCAGAGAAGTCAAAAAGCCAGACCTGTATTGAAGTTGGCACGGGGTGGTATCCACTAGTTGCCTATTGTAGCTCCACTAAAGCCCATTCCTTACTCTCTACTCTCCTTGGATCTCCCCGGGACCAAGCTGAACCGACTACTTCGAGGGGGCTAGCACTTCTCATACTCTCAGTTCTAGCTGGCGTAGCTAGATCACTGCTCCTCTCTCCATTCCAAGTGCCTTCCTCTGGACACATTTCATCGACGACATTCTCCACGTTAAGGACAAGCATCTCCCTTCGCACTGTCTAAGTCGAAGACCACAAGCTGCAGCGTTTCATCCACGTTGCCACACTCCGGACAGAAAGGTGACGCTGCGTGTCCGAACCGATGCAGGTATTTCCTGAAGCAGCGTGGCCAGACAGGAACTGCGTCCGGTGGTGGTTGACTTCTCCGTGTTTTCTGTTCACCTAGATCGAACGAATCGGTAATAACCGATGTGTCCATCTACCGCTATCCACCGTGGTCACTCCTATTGCCACTTTGCCAAAGACTCCGATTTCGCCATTTTCCGTACTCTACCGGCTTCTCTCCGACTGTAGCACTCGTTGTCCTCCTCCGGGTGATGTCGATAGCGCATACTGCTTCCGATGAGATGGTTATGTATACACTCACGACTCGCATGGCCATGAGCCGGAACGTACTGCTCAAGTTCCTTTGGTTCTGCTTAGTTTCCAATGCTGCAAACCAGGCTGGCCCTTCAAGCAGTCTCACAGACATATTCGACGTTCCCAAAATTGAACCCTGTGCCAAAAAAGCGGTTGTGTTGCTAAAATTGAACGGATACTGGAAACATTACTAACAGTTAACGACTTTTAGTCATTTTATTTTAAATTTTGTGATTGAGATTGCATCGTAATAAAAACAACAGTTTGCGTGGGCAAGTGACAAATTGACGGTCGATGTAATGGTACCGTAAATTAACACTCAAGTTATCTTTGAAATGATCGGAATGGAGCCTTGAAATATTTAAAATCAAAACAGTAGAACGAATCAGCGCCAAATCTGCACCAGACCAATTGTGAGATGCAAATTCAAGCAAATTCCGCTAAAATCACATTCAAATAAACCGATTGAGGATTATCTAGAGTTTTTGATATATGATCATGAAAATATATGGATTCAAAATTGAATCAGCCGGTACCGAAGACACAACTATTATCAAGACACTAGAACTTGGGCCCAACTTGACCAACATTTAATGCCGTACACACCATTTGTGTGGTTCTCTTCGTGCGGAATCAATCAAATGCATAAATAGGGGAAAGCTACTTCATGGTTACCATCATAAGAAACACTTGACATCTCGACAGCTTTTTTTAGAAAAAGCTTCACGACTCCAAGAAGCAGATATAGAGCTTTTCCTCAACGAACAAACCTCTTCTGCCCTTAGAACCGGTTGTCTCATAAAATGAAGAACACTGACTTTCCATCTTCCTTCTACACTAATCCTACGCACACCATCTTCACCTTTCCCGAAATACAAAGTGTCCGTTCCTGAAATATAAAAAAAAAATGCACACACGTGCACCTTCCCGTCCGGCTGAAGAAAGATTAGCATCTTTTTACACCGAAAAGCATAACAAAATGCGCAACTTCTCCTCCCTGTTGTACCTACACGGCTCATCGTACATATACGTGTACGACGACAGCGAGTCAAGAAAAAGCGGAGAAGAAACACCACCACAGCTCGAAGAAACTCCACCTTCCTTTTGCTTATTCATGATACAAGTGTAAACAACATCCACACAACGAAACGATAAGAAGCTTTCAGCGTGCGGGAAATAATGAATGAAAGTTCACTGTACCGCTATGCTCCGGTGTACGACGACGATCCCATGCCGTGTAGTAATCGTAGAACAAGATAGGAAATGACAGGTGGGCAGGAACTCACGGTCTCCCAGTGTTGGTGAGTTCTTTGCCGTTAATGTTCACGAAAAGTTCACTATTTTGCCATACAGAAATTAAAAACAAAAATTTTTATCTGCGGATTTGGACTGTTTTTGACCTGTTTCGTACGACCGGAAAGTGTATGTTGGTCACAAATGCCGTGCCAAACTGATTTCCTACTCAATTAATCAATCTTTGGTGTGAATTTCGCTAATAAACACGAGGAGCATTTCTTATAGCAAACTTGCCATAACAAAATGGGCATGGTTCATTTAAGTAAACAAACTAACACTTATTCCGACTGTGGCACCTCTCTTACTCGCCTGGATCGTAGAAGGGTTCTTTAAATACACACACATTCGCTCCGGCCACGGTCGATAGATGTGTAGGTGCGTCTCGTGTACAAGTACAACACAGTGGGGAAAGTGCGAGACGGCTAATACATAGGTGTAACAGTCGGAAGAAGTGTTAGTTTGTTTACTTAAATGAACCATGCCCATTTTGTTATGGCATGTTTGCTATACGAAATGCGCCTCGTGTTTATTAGCGAATTTCACATCAAAGATTGATTAATTGAGTAGGAAATCAGTTTGGCACGGCATTTGTGACCAGCATACACCTTCCGGTAGTATGAAACAGGTCAAAAACTGTTCAAATCCGCAGATAAAATTTTTGTTTTGAATTTCTGTATAGCAAAATAGTGAACTTTTCGTGAACATTAACGGCAAAGAACTCACCAACACTGGGAGACTGTGAGTTCCTGCCCACCTGTTCATTTTCCATCGTGGGGAAAGTGCAAGGCAGATGAACACACACTCTGCGCTGATGAACACCTACTGAGATGAGTGAGTGAGGCGAGTGCTTCGCTGAGTGCCCGGTTCGAGAAGCATGTTTGTGCAATGCGGTTCAGCCCTGAGCAGGCAGACGACGACAGGAGCATCATCTGGTAAATTACTTTTTCCTTCGTAAACTCGAGGGATCACAAAAGATGAGGGTGCTGCTGGCTTGGCCTGGTACGGCACACCGGTGATTCTCTTCCATACACTCATACACTGGCGTAACGGTGGACTGTGTACACAATCTCGTCACGAGAGCGGTATTTACGGGACACGAAGAAGCCAGCAGCCGCCGCAGCAAGAGGGGGAGGAGAGGACGATTTGAACGGTTCGTCGTGTGAGATATGTGCTGGCGTTGGTGCGGTGTGTTGTACCTATCGTACATACAATTTAGTAGCGACTGAAACGTCGCAGCGTAAACACGAGATTATGAGCCCTCCACAGAACGCATATACAAATTATATTAGGTGTAGAGTGTCCCGAGAGTGAATTATATAGAAGAAGAAGGCACTACTGCGAGAGACCCGTGTGATATTTCAAATTAGTTAACCATCGATCACGGTTGTCCGGTGTGCCGAGTGAGAACACACCTTGCTTAGTCGATTCCGATTCCGGTCGTAAGTGAAGTTTCCGATCGTGTGAGAGGGTTCGCGACGCGTCGAATAAACCCGCGCGTTGAGTCAAGGAAACTGTAGTGACCCACGAAAACATTGAGCGCCGAGCTGAACAAAGAGTCGCACACCTTTCCCCCTGGGGTACTCCGTGTAGTGACGAGACAAAGGAATACAAAGTAGTGGCACTGTGCACAAAGTTTCACTTTAGTTGTTTTGGAAAAACCAAGGAAGACCAACGACAACGAAATCTAATGACAAAAGCCTGTACAACAACGCAGTAATAACAACAACAACGAAGACGCCCACAAAGGTGATCCTTGGGTCAGAGTGTGATTGATCTTGTTTACTGTTCCTACACCCGTTCTATGCGGAAGATATCGAAGAGACAGCTTTGCGCTCGTGAAAAAGTGTGCGTAAATCGTCGAGAACGTCGCCGCAAGATGGAGCCGAACGGAAGTGAAGCATTAAACATTGAGATTAAATAGTGGAAGCCAGTACTAATCGCAATGGATTGATTGATTAAGAAAAGAAGCATTCTAGTGATCAGTCGAAAACGCAACGAATTCGTTCATTTCTTGATTTAAGTTTCATTTTCTGTTATATTTATCCGATGCAACACTCGTTACAATTCATCAAGTACGATTGTGGGTGAGCCATTGTGTGAAGTGAGTGAGTTACAATCGAAGAAGAAAACAGAAGAAAGTGCAAAACATAGGCGGGAGCGCAGCCCACACCGGTTCCAAATGTTGTCTTGCCTGGTGCCGCCACGTTTCGGACAAGAAGACAGTGTCATGCCGTCATCCGCCACGTTCGCCCTGCAGTGTATGTATTTTTTTTGTTTTATGTTTTTAATGGGTTTTGATCGACTTAACAAGATTCCAATGTGTAGTGCTATAGTCTACTCTCCACAATTCGATGTCCACTAACTCGATATCGAGTTATAGAAGCGTAGTAAAAATGAATTTCATGGCTGCTGTGATAGCGATTTTGTATAACTTGATAATTCTAGAGAGTTCACTGTTTTTACATTGATTCAAATGTGAATTTACCGAACGTTCAGTGCGTTTGAAACATAGTGAATATTTACAATTAAAATTTTAAGAAATTCTGCTTCGCATAAACAGTTCAGGAGACTAATGGGTTACAGGTCAATTGATAAATCTTTCCATTCAGTGCAATAGTCTTTTTTTTTTTTTGACGTAGGATTATGTATTTCGGCAACATATTGGGGGTGCAATTTAAAAAAAAACCAAAATCGACCGCGTTACGAAAAGTGGTCAGGTTTTTACCACTTATAACTCTGTCAATAGCGAATGAATTCTAATTCTTAATATGCCAATCGATTGGAAATTCGTCTACAGATCTGCTAAAGGAAATACTTTATCAATTTTCAATAGGCCACTATTGAAAATTACACAAATGTCCAACTGTTGCAATGGTGATCAAAATTATCAGAGATTGCCTGTAAAAAAAGAGTTTTCCTAACAAAATATTGAGGTTTCTGTCGTATTTTTTTAATAAATGCAGAGTAAAAACCTAGGGTGATTCATGCGACTTTAAATGGGGATTAACGATGATAAATCGTAACACTTTGAGAATTAACAACTTTGCTAGTATTTAGATCTATTCATCGCTTTAAAACCCTCTTGCTAACTATCCTCTATTTCTATCGATTGGGATTAGTTGCGTAATATAATAGTTATCCTTTGCTCTAAAACGTAGATAGTTCTAGCGATTAAATACTTAAACAGCTACGTAATAAATACTAAAATACTCCTGTTATCCAGGAGCCTCAATGATTCTACTACCTGCAATACACAAGCCATGAATGACCTAAAAAGTGTTTAAGTGACTTTAATAAAAATGTAATCAAACACCTAATGAGAGACGTCATTTTTGCATTCTAAATAATTTAATAATATCGAGCTAAATTTGCTTAAAAAATAATCCGTCTGTCTATGTTTCTAATTAAACCAGTTAACATAACAGGCTTTTTAAAAGCTAAGAAAAAGTATAATGGCATATCAAAGCTACAATTAAAATGCCAGTGCAGTTGTGTTTAAAAAAATTACATGATTTACAATTCAACAAGTGCGTTTCCCTTTATGCTACCCCTAGTTATTTTTATAACAATTAAGTAGTTATTTGAAGCAGTTAAATTTTTTCCACTGATTTCGATTGTGCTCTGCAAGAAACGATTATGTTCTTTTTTTAAAAGCGATCTCTACTATTTGTCGGTTTCCAAGAATATTTTATTCAAAGGAGGAATTTTGTACATTTTAAACCAATTCCACTCTTAAACCATCCTCAATATTGATTAAATTGAATTTGAGCTGTAAAGATAATTACTTTTGGAAAATCAATTCTAAACAGAACAAGCAAGCGGCAAAATCGATGTCTACCAACAAGTCACGAATACTGTTAAAGTGCATTCTAGAGCAGTGAAAAGTTAAAAAAAAAAACTTATTCAGTAAGTCATCAATGAGTTTTTTTTTCGGTTGGCAGATTTTGCGATTTCATTTCTGAAAAGGAGCCTAGAAAAGCGAATCAGCCAGTTTTTGTTCTACCGACTCTTCTACATTTAAAACAAATACCGACTCTTCTACATTTAAAACAAAGCATATGATGCAAGCAAAGTTGGAAGGTTCATTATTGGGGATCAAGGGCATTTTTTAATGCGGTGAAACTTGTTTGAGTTTGACTTCAATCAATTCTATTAAATTCCAATGAGAATTACAATGATTTGAATTTGTACATGGCAAAGCAAAATTCTGTTAAAAAGCATTGAGTTTCCAATGCACAAAGATATTAAACTAAAATTAATTAAATAATTATTCTACTGTTTCGCATTTCAAGCTTATTGCTTATTGAATATTAGCTTATTGGGTACTCTCAACTCAGCGTTCTATAGATGCACTTCCACAGGTATTAATTGAGAGCTTTCGATGCTTGTACCATTTTTGCATTAGTATAATTGTGTGGAATCATACTCAATGCCCAGGGAAGTCGAGAAATTTTTCAACCCGGAAAATTCCTAGACCGGACCGGGAATCGAACCCAGCCACATTTTATAAATATCTAATGGTGTTAATCAATCTTTTCGTATCTAAGATTTCCAGTTTTTGGTAATCTAATAGAGAAAAACCTTTTCCAATTTTGTATGAAATTTCGGCTAATTTTTCGATACAGTACACACTTGGTGAAATATATATATATCTGTAACAGTTCAGTAAACTGAAAATGTTCCGAAGTGTTGTTGCATATATAATAGTTAACCGAATTTCGGACCTGGTTTTAGCAAAATCTCGGTAGCAACAATCATTTACCAAGCTTCGTCAGTAGTAATCACTGATAGCGAAATCAGCAAAATAATTCAGCGAACTTTACGGCATTCACATTTTACTTTGCCGAAAATACTTCAAATATCTGTCAAAACGAATCCAGACACATTCCAAACTTCCGTTTTGCCGAGAATACATAAAATAACTGTCAGAATGAAATCGACCACTCTGTTAGGTGCGCATGGAAAGTGAAAGTGGTAACCAAACTGAAAAGAAGGTTGTCGTTAAACCACCAACTTGTTTTCTCAAACAACTCGGGAGTCCCGCAAGGCAGTAATCTCCAGAGCTAATCGACAATCGGCCTTCATTTTCAAAATTGCCAACGCTGTGCCTCAGGTCACTCTACTGATAGCTTGTGCGATCCTTATTGGAGTCAAGTTCAGTTGTTTGGTGCCCTTGCCATGCTAGCTGGATCACTAGAATTGAATCCGTTCAACGCAACGCAAGAAATATGCTCTTGCGTGACCCAACAAACCTGCCACCGTACGAGGAGCGTTGCCCTCTCCTGGGAATCGAACCATTAGAGGTGAGACGGACGGTCGCTCAAGCTATGTTCGCTGGAAAGCTGCTTACGGGTGACATTGACTGTCCAACACTGCTGGCTCAGCTAAATAGTATGCCCCTGAGAGGCCTCTTCGTCAACGCGACTTTCTGTTTTTGGAACCACGGAGCCGAAATTATACACAACACGAGCCAATTCGAGCAATCAGCCGACAATTCAAAAAACTTCTTTTATATGATCGACTTCAATGTATCAGCTGACGTGTTTCGTCCTCGGTTACTTGGCCTTTTCGGTACCGTTGACCGTAACAATAATTGTCAGTTGATTTTTTCAATATACAAATAAACAATAAATAAATAAACAAATTAAAAAAATGGAATGTAGTAAAATTGTATACTACTTCTATTATTTCTTCTCAGAACTGCTTCTCAGTCAATTATTACATATGGAAGCAACAAAATTAAAAAAAAAAAATATTGTGAACTTCCGGAATTTACAAAAAAAAAAATAATACCGATAACCGGTCAACAATTTGTTCCAAGACTCCAAGAGGCAAATTTTGCTTTGTCGATTTCACGGCAATTGAATATTTTACCGAGGAGTTTGCCGAAGATCCGGCTGTTGGATTCTCGGCACATTTTTTTGTCGAGCTCGGCCAAAAAATCTAAGTGCTTAAATAGCCTAGGCAGCTAAGGTATCGGAATTCCCGATCTGGTAACCCAATTTTTTATTCGGATTATTAACTTACCTGGACATAGGCTATCACCCATATTATTTTGTTTTCATTCGATACGGATCGTATCGATTGTGTGGAAAATACGGTTTGAACGAAAACGAGAACATGGGTGTTGGCTGTAGTATGGCTTAGTTTAATAATGTTTGTTTTAGAAAACTTGTATCCTAGGTAAACTGGGAGTAAAATGAGCACCACAAATGAATTTAACTGTTTTCTCTTTTATAACCCAAACCAATGATGGACTTATCGCATAAAGTAAAGCTTCCATTCATATTCTAAACAGTAGACCATAGCAATGAATCAAAAATCACATTTTCATTATAAATCCTGTATTTTCACCAACTCCCATTACAAGGCTGGGTTTTTATGCATACGAATACACTGAACATATAATGGGGGTAAAACTAACATTCATTGGGAAGAAATTAAACCGCTACTGGGGGAAAAATGAACATGTGATGGGGGTAAAATGAACATACAGTGGGTGTAATTTGAACCAGTGCTGAGGGTAACATGAACATTGTGCGCACTGTTCATTTTAGCCCCATCATAAACAGTTAATTTTAGCCCCCCAAATATCAATTTTTTTCAATTGCTTATTTAAAACAAAAAAAAAATCTTGCAATCTTCGATAAATCCTTAACAATACTTCAAATTAAAAAAAAACCAAATGGTTAGAATTTATTGGATTTTGATTTTCACGTAGAAAAAGCTTGCATTGCAAGCAGTGCATTTACATTTCTTCACATCTAACAGCTCCTGATGTTTTGAACAGCTTAAAATACTCTTCGAATAGGTTAGCTGTATTACGCTACTTGTTCATTTTACTCCACCTGTTCATTTTACCCCACCTGTTCACCCTACACTTGATTTTAACTTGGATGGCATTGTGAATTTCTAATAAAGACTTTAATGTATCCACCTCGATTGAAAATCAACTGAACTCATTCATGAATAAAAATCAAATATTGATGATTTTTAGGTATGTAAACATGGAATCAGTTTTCTCGATGTTGCAACAGAACAGAAATGGCTCATTTACTAGAAAGTACAGCGATTATTGCGGTATCAAATGCATTTATAATCTTTGTGAGTTTTTTTCAGTGGAAGGATTTGAGAACACTTAAAATATTTTTTTTTTTTTTTGAGTGTGGGTAAACACAAATTAAGCTAATTTGAATCACGGATTTTCAAGAAAGATATATTGTTTAACATAATATATCATGATCCTGACCATGTAGAA